GGAAACGCAGCGAGAAGGGCCGGATCCAAGGTCACCCGGATGCCACACGGGAACATTCCCGCTCTGATCCAGCTCCTGGCCTTCCCGCAGCCTCCTCTTGCTGGACGAGAGGCCAGCCCGAGCCGCCTCCATTTTAAAGCCACTCGGGACTCGGCGCTCCAGATCCCGTCTCCCTCCTCCCTGCTCTGTCCTATTGGGCTCCGCAGGGAAGGTTTTTGCCATCTGGGCTCATTAGGGCCGTTCCCTTTCTTTCCAAATGATCCCTGCTAATTAGCACTGGGCTCTCACCACCCCACAGAGCCAGCGCTTGCTGGTGACTCAGGCGAGCCAGCCGGGATGCTGGCGCACATCCCGGGATGCCTGCATGTCCCACATCCCACCCCAGCGTGCAGAGGGACACGGACGTGGCCAGTGCAAGCGGGTAGCAGAGCACAGGGGTGCTGGTGGACAACGGATTTACAAGGAGCCTCCGCACGGGCCTGGAAGCAGCACAGTCGTGTGCAACAGGCAATTCCAAGTGCCCGGAGCTGCATCCTTCCCATGTCAACCTCTAGGCTTGTTCTAGCACCGCCATGCAGGAGTGAGCCGCACTCACTGAGGAACCCAATTCGTGCTAATGACACCAGGCTGCAATATTAAAACAGCCACTGTTTTCCTCAATGGATCCTGGTGGCGCCTCCAGGCAGGCGGAAAGGGCAATTTTGCAGGCAGGTGCTGCGTGAGCCAGACGTAGCAGCTGGATGAGCCCACTGACTCACACAGTTGGGTCCCCTTTTATGTCTCATTTAGTATCACAAAAACACGCATCAGCTGCAGCAGTGTGACACCAGAGCAAACCCAGCCATCATCTGATCCCTCCAGGGCTCTGCGCTATCCGCAGGATCAACGGATCCTGCTCGTCTCACCCGCACTGCTCCAGGACGGGCGGCTGAACCCAAACTGGGGACAGGTTTGGGCCAGGAGACAGTGAGTGGGCAGCACCCAACCCCCCCTGCAGATTCTGCCTCCCCCGTGGAGCTTCTCCGTTTGTAAACAAACAATTCCACGCACAACCCAAGGATAATCCGAGCATCTTTTCCCAAGGCAGTGGTTCAGTGCGGGTTTGCAGAGGGCAGCTGATCTGGGGCTGATGGGGTCCTCGTGACTCCCATCTGACTTGGCCCTGGGGTGACTCCGGGTTCTCGGCACCACGTGAGCCCAAGGAGGCACCGAAGTCGCTCCAGATTTACACCAAGGGCTCTCCTGCCCAAGGATGGGCTCTTCTGCCCATCAATTCCAGCGGAGCTGCCCCAGGTTCTCCTGGAGGACAAATAGATCAGACCCAAATCCTATCTCCCTGCCAGCCAGCTGAATTGTGGACAAATCGCCATCCTGGCCTATTCAGAGCATCTCCAGAGAGACATTTCACAGGAAACTCTGGATCCTCCTGAGAATATCTCTGTTGTTGTGGCTTTTTTTTGCTGTTGTTGTTGTTCCCTACTACACCCAGAAATAGTTACACCAGCTTCTGACAAATTCAAACCTTGGGTACCTCAGACACAAAGCCGGATCCAAGCATTTGAGTGATTTTGCCCCTTAAGGTCCTTTACAAAGAGTTGGGACTGGCTTTCTCAGCTGATTTAAGCCCCAGCTCGCTGGAGCAATGCAGATCTGCCCCTAAGTAAGATACCAACCCCAGAGTGGGTCCAGAGGAAACATACATCTCCACGCACATGCAGCAAGGCAATAAAAGCACAGGAGAGAATAAGGAATCCCCACACCAAATACTACCAATAGCATGAAACCAGGAACCCAAAAGCCGACCCTTGTTTTTTTTTTTTTTTGCCTCAAAAACCAGCCACCTGCATTTAGAAAGTGGCAGGGAAAAAGATCAATAAAAATAAAATAATAATAATAATAAAGCACATAAACCCCCAGCACCTTAGGGGCCAAAATTAAATATTCATTGCAGCCAAGTGCTCTCTTCTCTCCCAATGATATTGTCAAGGTCAACCTGAAAGCTGCATTTCCACCCTCCCCAGGCAGCAGCTCTGAGGGGACGAGCCCTCTGTCACCCTCCAGGGTCACCCTCAGCCTCTGCACAGTGGCCAGAGCCCTTTGCTGTCCCCAAAGCCCCCCCGAATCCCTCAGTGTCCCCTCTTTGGGCCCACTGTCTCTAGGCTTCAGGTGCCCCATGCCCAGCCCTGCTCCTCCCTGAGCATCCTCCCTGGAAAAGCAGCAGGATTAGGAGAACGGCAGGGAAGAAGGAGGGATGGAGGAGGCAGGACTCGGTGCCAGGAGCCCCCCAGGAGCACCGGGCCGGGCAGGGGGAGCAGCCTTACCTCTGCGCTCCGGCTCCAGCGGCGCGAGGGGAGGCAGAACCTGCCGAGCTGCCCGAAAGCGGAGGGGAGAAACGAGCGAATTCGCGGCAGAAACTGACCGGGTTCCCGCCCTGAAACTGACCGGGTGCGGGCGGGGAAGCGGCCGCCGCCGCCGGGGCTCCCCCCGGCCCGGTTCCCTCGGCGTTCCCGGCGCCCCCGCCCGCAGCACGGGCCGCTCCCCGCCGGGAGGCAACGCCGCTCGCTTCCCAAAAAAAGATTAAAAAGAAAGAAAAGAAAAGAGAGAGAGAGAGAGAAAAGGGACGCGCAGCCCCTGACGCAGGCTTGAGTCACCGGGGCTGCACGTCAAAGCCGGGGGGTGGCTGTTTCCCCCCGCCAGGTGAAGGGGGGGTTGCCACATCGTGTATTTTTGGCATTGAAAATATAGCGGTGAGTTCTGGCAGGGCAAGTTCAGTCTTGCCACCCTATCCTTGGTGTGGGGAAAGGCAGAGCTTCTTATATGCCCTCAGCCCCGGCACAAAAGTGCAGCCCCCAGAGATGTCCCCCTGGCCACCATGGCACCTCCACCCCCGGGGAGGGCAGCACTGTGAGGTGGGGGGGGCCACACGATGGGTTTTGGTCACCCCTTTCCTCCAAGGATAACTGGGTGCGTTGGAGGTGTCACTTAGTCTCAAATTGTGCCACGAGGAACGAGCTGGGTCAGGATCCGAATTCAGCCTCCCTGCAAACTGAGTGCGATCCTAGAGACATCCCGTTGAAGCCAGGGATGCTCTGGGACCCTAGACCCAAATCTGGACATGCAGGACACCATGTCCCCACATGTGCTGGTTCCCTTCAGTGCCAGAGCTCAGCACAGGCACAAGCAGGGCTAAGCTCAGGGCATAAGCCAAATCTGGAAAACAAGGAGGAATGGATGGGCACCCATTTGTCCACCCTTAAAGCCAATGGTGAAATTCTGCGTGCAAAAGAGTCCCACTCAGGAGCTTGATTCCCCCCCAGCAGGACACAGAGGGAGACAGGACATTCATTAGGATTTCAGGAATTCCATTAGGAGGAAGAAGGAAAACAAGCACACGACCTTCCAGGCAAGCAAACTCCAAATCCAGCTTCTTACCCGGGATTAATTTCTCACAAAGCCATTTAGGCTGCTTTGATGCAATTACTGCTGTGTGCTCCACAGAAAACCTTGCACACCTGTAGGGACGAGCCCTCCCCTTCGACTCAGCACTGCCTCACCAGCCCTGCCCTCCAAAAGCAGCTAATTGAGTTAATCAAGAAAGCCAGGGGGATGTTATGATTTCCTGGGGCGAGAAGGAGTTTTCCAAGGAGCTAATTGCCGGCTTGATGCCTAGTGGAATTGGTTAAGGTCTCCCAGTCCTGAAGGTTTGAGCTGAGCCCACCCAAAGGTCTCTCCTCTGCTCCGGGTGCTGCTGCAGGCCGTGGTGCTGGTAGCTGTGGCCAGCGCTTGGCATCGTCCAGGGCCACCTGAAGCCCCCAAGAAATCACAGCAGGAGCCAAGGTGCATCTGGAGGAGACAGGCCCATGGATGACTCAGACCTCCAGCCCATTTCTTCCTGTCCCCACAGGACAAATTACGCTGTATTTCAGTAGAGCTGCTCCTCTGCCCATCCCATCCCCAAGTCAGATAGGAACAAGGCTGCTCAACCCCCACTTTAAAGGGAAGATGGTGCAGACCTAGTTCCCATTTTCCTACCGCTCCTGGATCTCTGCAGCCGGATCAAAGCTCTGGCACATCCCTCTCTGTGCAGAGGCAGCAACGCTAAAATGGGATCTAGGCTCTACCAGGAACACATGCTCGGGGGCAAATGAAGAGAAAGTCCCATTTGCAGCCACAAAAGCATCACATGAGCCCAGCCAAGGGAAGAAGCTGGTGATGATGCTGGCTACAGCAGAAGATGCCAGAGGGGAAATGCAAGAAACTTGGAGAAATGCAGCTATATCCCAGGAGCTGCCCCAGAGACTCAGCCTCGGCTAGGGAGAAAACAGAGCGCCCTATAGAGCCCTGTACTTTTCCAATGGCGATCCAAGGAGGAGCAGTGTGGATATGAGTAATGTCTCTCGTGGAAGAACAAGACCCCAGAGCTCAGCAAGGGGCTGGTGCCGGAGACGGACGCGTTTCCATAAGCGCTCGAGCAGCAGCCTATAAATAACCGCCCGCGTTCACCGCTGCTCTCATGTGACCCTGCTCTCCTGCATTTTCGGCTGCCATCTGTCACCATGGCGATGGCATCACGGGGCCACCAGCCCTTCATTCATAGCTACCCACAGGCAGCCCGCGGGGGAGGCACCCGGAGCCCCGTTTTAAAAGACGGAAGCTGCGGATTCGGGACAGGAAAATTACCGAGGGCAGGTTTAGGCGGGTGCATGTGATGACGCTCCAGCGTCTGGAGAGTGGGATGAGCACGGGCAGACGGCTGCTGGGAGGAGCAAATCCCACCCGCTGCAATCGCCGCAATCGGGAGCATCACGAGGGTCCTGCAATACGTATTTTTCCCCCCTTTCCCACCTCCAAATCCCTCCTGGCCTCAGGTTGCGCCTTCCTCCCCACCTGCCTTATTGATTTATTATCTTATTGCTGGTGCAAAGACTCCCCAGCCTCAGTTTCCCCCCAAATAGGGTGCAAAAAGGGCTAGGGGATAAACAGGGCAAGTGCTGGTGTGTTCAGAGGCGCATTTTCCACCTAGGCTGTCAAGCTGACCTATATTCAAGTGACAATAATCTACGGGGATAAGGCCCTCTGCTTTCTAAACGCATATTCGCCTGCAAAGCCCCTTTCTGCCAAGATTTATTCCAGGCCCGGTACTGCTAACGTGGAGGGAAGGGAAGCCAGGAAAGTGGAGACCAGCTGCCTGTTTTACTCTGGGCTTTCCTGGGGGTCTCAAAAACCCCAGAGAGCAACACGGGGAGCCCATAGCAAGCAGAAGACCGCCCCATTTCACCCGGCGCCGGGTGAATAAAAGTGTCGTTCGCTGCACAATGGCCAGGAAAAAAAACTAATGAGTGCCAGGCCAGGAATGGGAATGAGAAGCACGCAGTGCCGCCGGCGGCCGGGCTCCCCGCTGCGGCGCGCGGCGCTTGGAAACCCGCCGGTTCCTGCGCTCTGCTCTTAATTTTCTCCACCAATTCCCGCGGGAATTAGCTGCCGTTGTAGCGTCTCTGGGCCTGCGGTTGTTCCCTTCCCAAACGGCAGAGGAGGAGGCAGCCCAGGAGGGACGGCACTCACTTTGGCCACGCTCGATGCCGCACGGTTCCTCCTCCAATGCTTGTCCTAATGGGCCCCTTTTTTCCTGGGGGAGGTGGTTTTCATGACACTCTTTTCTAGAGCAAGGAGAGCCCAACAGGGAAAACCCAGGGGGTCCTGGGATCTGGCGGGGGATCACCCGGTGCATAAAAATACCCAACAAATCCCCACCCCAAGCGGCCCAGCTGGGAACGATCTTTGGGCACAGAGACAAGTGGGTTTGGGTGGGTGGGTTTTTGTCTGTGTTTTAAGGACAGAGCTGGCCCCAAGGTATGGGAATCCTGCTGGGAAGAGGAGCCTGGCTCTTGTCCCGCTCCTGTCACCAGCCGACGCGCGTCCCCTCCGGAGCCCTGTGCAGCCGGGCCCCTCTCTGCGGCTGGTGCTCATGGAGGCATCTTCCCCCTTCCCATCGGCAGCAAGGCAGGATCGGGATGGCTTTTAGGAGTGAGCGGATTTTGGGAGCAGCTCCCAGGGCTGAGCAGGCCTTGCTGTCCCCATCCCGTGGGCTCGTGCCCACTGCATCTTTGCAGGATTTGCATGGAGCATCCCGGTGAGAGATGTTGCTGGCAGCCGTCCAGGGCTCATTTCATACCTGCTCAGTCCTCTGCGATGCCACTTCATCCTGCTCCTTAGAACCAGGACTGATCCTGCTCTTGGGCCGTATCCCTTCCTCCAGGCTCTGGCACCACCCAATCCTGCTTGGAGGAGGAAGCAGCTCTGAGCCGGAGCAGAACAGGATCAGGGAGCAGGGCTGGATCTGGAGCAGGGATGGATATGCCGGGGTGCTGGACCTTCCTCCCACTCCACGGAGTGTCAAGCAGGGACTGGCAAAGCAGGCGGCTCCCCTGGAGGGATCTGCCAAGGCCACAGTCTGCTGGAATTTCCCCCCGTCCCATCCCAGCTCATCCTTCCCATGGGATATCTTGCAGGCAGCAATTGTCTGCCTGGCAAACGGGCTCCATCCACGCCTGGAGGTGGCCGCATCCCTGATGCTGTCACCACACGGAGCTGCTGCCAGGACAAGCTGGGCCCAGAAGCCCCTTCGGAGGCACCACAAACCTGGCAGCAGCCCAGATAGTCCAGAGGGAGCCAGAGCCGGAGGCATCAACCCAGGGCAGTGAATGTGCCGGAGCAGAGTCAGGTCCTGTTGGGTGGCAATGGGATTGCAAACGCATCCAGGAGCATTTTGGCTCCCTTTGGGTTGCATCACCTGGAAGTGTATCCCGCGGTCAGAGCTGATCTCCATGGTGGGGACCAAAGGGGAACCCCCGGGTGCAAAAGGAGCCTGGACAGGATAGGACCCATCCGAACAGGATGATCCAATGGGATATTTTCACCTCTTCTTGCCTTTCCTCCTTCGTTCCCTGCAATTTACAGCTCTGAAAGCCAGAGCACAAAGCACCTGAAAAGATGTTTCCACAGTGGGAATGGGGAAGATCAGCACAGCCCTGGGGAACAGGGAGTCCCTGGCTCCCAGCCTGGCACCCAGCCTCCATCCCTGCCTCAGTGTCCCCGTTTCCCAAGATAAGAATCCTCCTCTCCCGAGCACACAAACCCAGTGGACGGAGCTGTGGGTTTGCTGGGCACTGGGAACATCCAGCGTATGGTCCCAGAGAACCACAGAGGGAGGAAAATGCCAGCAGGGGAATGATGGAGATGACGGGAACAAGGAGGATGCCAGAGTGGGGAGACAAAGACTAAGTGAAAGCAGAAATCGGAGGAGCCAGGAGAGAGGCTGGGGAAAGGGAAAGCTGGGGGTGGTGGCAGGGAGACAGGAGCACCATCTGCTCTGGGGACTTTTCATTCCTCAGGCTCGTTTCAGCGCGGCTCTGATTGCTCCCGCCACCAGCACCCGCTTGGCCCCAGTCCCTGCCAGGCGGGACCCGCAGGGGACATGACCAGCCCTGGCCCGGGCTCTCGCCAGCTCCCAGAGCCTCCTGGAAGGGCTGGGAACACGCACAGGAAAACTCAGCAGCCGTCAGGAGCAGCAGGGGATGCTGCCGAAATCCTGGCGGCCGTGCCAAGACGCTGCTGCGATTCCTCAGGAATGAAGCACGGAGCAGGAAGGACAAATCCCAGGGGAAGAGCCAGCACGAGCCGGGCACCGCAGTGCCGCGTGAGCCCAGCTTTCCTACCAGCAAGGGGAGACAGCACGGAGCATCCCAGAGCATCCAGGTGCCACCTCCCCTAGGAGCCGGGGATCACAGGGGTGTCCTCACTGCCATCCCTCTTGCTGCGGGGCCAATGGCAAAGACTAGGGCTTTTTCCCACCCTATTCCCAGCAAGGAAGCAGTTTCCCAAAATATCCCACTGGGGGACCAATCCAAGGAACCAGGTACCCTCCCAGGGGCAGGATCCGCACTGCGGTCCATGTCCACCACCGTGCTGGTGGTCAAGGCCACTGGTCCCTGACTGTGGTGGCTTTTAGAGGTTCCCACTGTCACAGAGGCTTTGGCAAGGCACAACACGCAGTCCCGACAGTCCCTTTCATCTGCCTTTTTGGGGGCCAAAAATGCAGGAGAGGAAACCCCAGCAGCTAATTAGTCCCTCATTATGCATGAAAAAAAGCCAGCAGCCCATTGGCCATGCCACTGGTGCATTGCAGCCCCATTGGCTCATTGGCCTGGCAGTGATTTACGAGGCTGGGTGGAAGCATCTCTTGGGATGTCCAACGCCTTGGCTCTGCTCATGAAAATCCGGGATTCATCCCAGAAAACCACCCAGAGCCACAGGGGAGAGCGTCACCACAGAGCTCCCTTGCTCCCAACTCCTTTAAAAGAAAAAAAAAAAGATTTGCCGCAGGGGCAGCCCAACTTCCGATGACAGAGATGGACTCAGGGACAGATCCAGGCCAGATCAGGGTGCGCAGATTGGATGTGCCAGTGGGTGGCTTGGACTTTTGAGGCTTTTCTCCTCCAAATTGCACCCACCTTAGGCCAGAGCCACAGGCAGAATATTCCGGGTCCATCCATAGTGCCACGGTGACGGATTATGGGATACTCCCTAGCAGGAGAAGGCAGCTGGCTGGATTGAGGGGGAGCACACAGGGGCAGCGGGAGCTGCTCTTTCCTCACCCCATCCTTGCAAACAGGATTACTGGGATTTACTTTTCCTTCCTTGGGAAAGGGGGATGCTACACAGCTCTGTGGGGCTCGCCGGCTACTCACCCCTGTGATGAGTTTGTGGCACCTCTGCAGCTGCTCAGACTTCAAGGGGAGTGGAGGAAGGTGGGAGCCAAAGCAGGGCCTGGGGTTGAGGGGGGATCTCATGGATCTGGGAGATTCCTCATCCCGATTCCTGGGATCCCCCACCTAGCTCCATGCGGGCACCATTGATCCAGACAAGGAAGGGCTGGCCCGAATTGCGCACCCTCTCCACCCTGCCCCGTGGTATCCCAGCTGGATTTACCTGCAGGAACCAGGCAAGTCCAGGCATCCCTGGAGACCAAGAGCAAGCTGAGGTCATTGGTCCTGCCAAAACAGTGGAAAAGAAAGGCAAAAATTGCTGCTTTGGGATCCTGCCATGGGAAATGCTGCTGAGCAGCTGCCGGCAGTTTGGGATTGCAACGTGTTAATTGTGTTGAAGGCAATAAATAATTTTCCTGCCCTGACAAGGGAAGGAGGAAGCGCTGGAGAGACGCTCCAGGAGACCGTGGCAGACCCCAGGGGGACACAGGCAGCTTGTTGCTATCAGCTCCCTTGGGAAAGAATTGGGAATCCCTTGGGAATCAAAAGCCCTGGTGCAGAGGGGATGGGGGTGCTGGGGATCGGATCCAGCCCAGCTCAGGGGCACCGGCCTTTTGGGTGGAAACTGCACTTCCTCCATGGGAAAACTCCTAAAGCTCCCCATATTGGAGGGTAAATGAGCAGAACGCAGCAGTTTTAGGGCTCTCTCTCGTGAGGAGACGTTGCTGCCAAACCAGCGCCCTGCAAAGCCCCGATGACACTGGGTGGGAGCGATGACATCCCCCTGGGGACCCGTCGTGTCCCCTCTGGCTCCATCTCATGAGAGTCGCCAGCCCCGGCACTGATGCAACTGGGTTTTTGGCCAACTCCTGACAAAAATAAATAAATAAGTAAAAGCCCACAAAGCATCTGCCTTCCCCAAGTACAGCCCTTTGGCTGGATGCTAATATATAGGGTGAAAAATAAGGATTTGGGCTGCTTCACAGGCACTATGCCAGAGCATCCAGTTGAGAACATTGCCCATCCAGGGCAAAAACGCATTGATTGGCCTGGCCATAATCCATTGGGAAGCAGCTGGTCTGGAGGAATTAACTCCCTCACTGACCAGGAGCCTCTTGACGAAATCAGGTTAGTTTGATCGCTGCGGCGCCTGGCGCGTCGCTCCGAGCTGGTCCAGGAACCGGCTCCATTAAATCAGGGCAATTCCAGGCAGGCTTTGGTTGTCCAGCGCTTCCTACAGGGCACTGGAGCCAAGTCAGACACCAGGCCGGGTCAGCCGGCCCTGCAGCGATGCCTGGTTTTCCCTCTGCCCTCCAATGTGGGTGGCTGGGATGGGGCAGCCCTGGAGGTGAATGAATTCCAGCTTGGGAACGGGATGAGGAAGCCTGGAGATGGTTTCTCTCCGCTGTGGCTGGGTCTAGAAGATGCTGCTCCAAGGTGGAACCCATTTGGGTGAAGCTGTGGCACTAAGACCGGGGGCATCTCCAAAGGCACGCGGGGATGAGGGGAAGCAGCAGGATCTGCTCATTCTCCACCACAGTCCCCAGGGATCCCTGTTCCCAGCACCAGGGCCTCAGGTTTCCATGCCGGAGCATCGGCTTCTTGTCACCAATCCCGCAGGAAATTGGGCCTGATAGGAGCCTCCAGGAGCCAGCGCTGCCTCCGGAGGCTGATGCCTCCGTACCGAAGCCTCCTGCTGGGATGGGTGCAAAGAGAGCGACTGGGAGCACCGGAGCACACACGGATCCATCGTAATTGCTCCATCTCTCCAGCCCAGCTCCAAGCAGGGCTTGTCCCTAAGCCCCCCCAAAACCATTAAAATCCAGGCCAGGGAGGGAGACGAGAGATTTTTAACTGGTGGAGCCTGCGCGGGGAGGGCTGCGACTGGGATCACCTGGCAATGGCACCGGGATCCTCCCAGCTCTGCCTCCTCCCGATCCACCCATCCATCCATCCCAGAGAGCCTCTCCCTGCTCCGAGCCGTCTGCTCCGCATTTATTAAAGCAATAAACATGGCCTTTGCCTT